GCCGTCTTAAGGTGCAGTGCCCTGTAAAGACAGATATTAACCTAGATTCCTCTGATTTGCTTCTGTGTATTAAATCAGAGGTTCTACATTTGGAATAGATTGACCATGTAGCTCTCGACCTAGCTGCTGAGGCGGCAAAGGTCCACTCACTATTTGCCTGTCGCAACAAATGGTTATAAATCAACCTACGAACGTAGCTGACAGAGGCAGAAATTAAAATAGGCGTATCCGTGGAAGAGGCGCCTGGTCTAGAAATTATATAACACATTAAGAAAATACTGACAACAAAAGGCAAAAGTCAAATAAAATTAACTTAAGTTTAACTGCGAAACAATATATCAGACTCCTCGTACACTGCCTATAAGCCTGTTGCATTAATCTAAGATCTTTATTATTATTATAGCAACTTCTATATAGAGATGTTGTTCCTGTTTCAAGAGCTAACTGAACTACTTTAACCAACAAAGACATATAAACTTACAGTTCGGATTTGATGAACTTTGTTGTTTATTTTAATAATTAAATGTAAATGATATTGACGCTTCGATAAAGATGAGCCTTTAAAGATGAACATTTGCACAACTAAAAACTGTCCCTTTAGAAAAAGTTTCAGAATAATTTTATTTAATTGAAACTTAACCAAACTAATTAAAAATTTTTTATTCTACATTAAAAAAATTCCAAAATTTTTGTGAATGCGAATAAGTTTACGAAAAAATTTTGTTTCTTTACATTCTTCGTATTTAAATGTCAAATTATAATTTGAAATGCATGACTTTTCTAAGAAGAATATATAACAAAATTAACATCAATTGAATCAGTTGAGCACAACGGGAAGATGACATTTGCCAGTTGAATAAGTTGAAAAATCACAAATGTTTGCATCTTAAGTTCTTTAAAAAAGTCTGTAATGCCAAGCAAATGTTACAGAAAAGGTGTCAGATTTACAAAAATAATAAAACATTTTTAAAAAAGTATTAAAAGTAAGCAGAATGTTATTTTGCATTAGCAAAATTCGCCACTTTTCCATAAGCACACATAGACACACATTCCCAGGATAAGAGATTGGCTCCTTTATTTTCCTTAAATTGATACAAATTCGGATGAAGTCACTTTAGTGGAAAATAACAAAACAAGAGTGTTAAGTAAATAGCGATAAAAAATAAAAATAATGTAAACGCTACAATAAAAAGGTAAAATATACTAAAAGGTTTCACATGTTTGGTGTTTTAAATATTTATCTAGAAGATTTATTTATGTATGAATGCGTTATTTTCAGGTGATTTCTCCTTTCTAAGCTTATGCAGAAATACTTTTACATTTGACATAAGAATTTCAAAAGAAGAACTGATAAGCTACGTAAATGCGTAAACATATGGTTGTGAAGGATTTAAATTTTATATATATATATTATTTATTTATAGATATTTAAAATAAATTCATTTTTTAAATAATTAATGAAAAACTAAGTTACTCTGGTATAAATAGTACAATAAGTCTTAACAAAATAAACAGTTTTCTGTTGGTATTTGAAATGTTCAGTTGAATTTATCGAAAAAGTTTAAAACATTGACTGAATATTTAATTTTTCTCTGAAAATATATTATCTATAAAATTTTAAATTCACTTGAATTTATTAAAATAATTTAAAATATTTCAGTATATTAAATGCAGCATATTTAATTGATTCTAGAAAAATTTTTTTTATAAAATTTTAAATTTCACACGAAAAGCTTTTAATAATATTTCTGAAATATTTTCTCAAGAGTTATTTTTTGATATTCATATACACAAGTTGTTCAATAATTGTTATCAATTTTGAACTGATTTGTTTTTAATCCCCCTTAAATTACTGTCACATTTCTTTTTAACAAAATGTATTCTATGATTTATAACTCACGTGTTAATCACAATAGATTTTTGTAGATTGATGATGTTGATCGTTTTTTTCGAGTCAGCGCAACTGGGCACTTTAACTCTTTGATAGCTGGAGGTACTACAGGGTCCCACCCATCTCATTGACTAATTTATGTATTGAACGGCAATCGAAATATCTATATAAAAACTGTCTGTGCATCGACGATTCAACTAACGGAAAGTTTTTTCGCGACATTTTTAACATGTCTTTGCATAACTGAACTCTTCAGTCTTTTCCATCATTTGTCAGAGTGTATAGTACGAAGCGCAGATAGATCTTCTATTTGCCTAATCTTCAGTTAAAAGGTTTCTTTTAGTGACTTTTACAATGTTTTATTCATTGGTAGTGATTATTGGCGGACTTGTATGGTTATCGTCTTCAAGGGCCTCACAAACATCACATAACTGGCTAAATCATATAAACACCCAGTTCTGATACAATAGTAGCTCACTTTTTTAATGTCAACAAGTGTGCCTTAAACATTTTGTTTTATAACAAATTATACATTTCTATTGTACTCTAAATATATTTCCAATATTAAATATTTTTAGCTAGACGCTCTGTATCTAGCTACGCCTTTTTTCAAATACCTGTGTCTAGGTTTATGAAAAAAATACGTTTTGCAGTGCAGTCAATTGTATAGAATATATTAATCAACCGATTAGTATACCTCATGTCAAAACTTGTAAGCAAAATAGCTTAATAACATCACACATATTTATTTAGCTTTCCATGGCATATTCTTTATGAATTCCGAAATCATTGAGGAATCATTCTTGTACATGCACATATATCACAATGGTATGGAATATACGCGTTTATAAACAGTTTTATCTGGCTTTATTCAGAACCATTCCCAGTGTATTTGTAACTTATTTGCTTGTCGATTTATCATTTTGGAGTGCTTCATTTCTGCTGACATGATAGCTTGTTTGGACAACATTCCAGAAAATTGAGTTGCACAGTGTCCTTGACATACATAATATATTTATTTTATTTTTGTTCTTATTTTCATTTTGTTTCAAATTAGGTGCTAAGAACTAGCAAATAACTTTGTAGTCAAAACATATTAATTAGTCTATTATAGTTATGTAAACAAAACAAAAATTCATTAAATATGTCCGAGCGACACTAATATAAAGTTTTTGCATTACAATATTAGAAAATAAAGAACTATGTGCTATATTTAATTTACAATGGACCCCAAAAAACAAAAAAATAATGTAAAAATATGGCAACAAGTGTCGGCCATTTACAAATTTAATACGACCTTCATTAATATCGCATTACAGAAAGCAATAAATTTTAATTTCTCAGATGCCAACATTTTCGTAGGCCCCATTCGGTCTATTTTTGCCGGTGAACAAAAACAAACTACGTAACAAACTTTTGCTGAAAGAAGGGAAAAAAAATAATGGCAACAATTTAACAGCTAAAAAGTCAAAATAAACTTTTATTAAAAATTATGCATATCAAATTTCAGAAATGCTCAGGCTCTGCAGAACACCGTTTTTTATACTATTCTACAGTTAACGACCCCTTACAACAAATACAACTCGTACATTTGGAAAAATTAGTGTTCGTATTCCAACTCTTTGTATCATTTCTTTGCTGAAAAATAATGATTGCCCAAATTAAAGTGAAGGCGGTGATTATGCCTAATAATTGTTTCGGTTTCTGTTTTCATGAAATATTTCTTCGTCATAAATATTTCTTACTGTGTACCCAAACAAATAACCAACAACATTTTGTATTCCTTGCGTTAATCGCCAAGGTGATACCATAATTTATGTGCCTTGGTAACCCTGCCGCTGACTTAAAGTTTATAAGTATATTGCCTCAGCAACTCAATAGCTTCTGTTGATATACTTTCGCATATTCCTTTTTTATATTTGTCTTCCTCTTCTTTTTCCCCATTTTTTGGTTTGGCAGTTATTCATCGGTTATGTTTCTCTATATGCCTTTCGGCCTTTATAAATTTGTATACCCGTATATTTGGGTATTTGGCGTAGTTCCAGATATGAAGAAACTGTTGCTGTTGTTTACTCATACATTTACTGCCAGGCAAAAGGAAGGGTGCGTAAAAGTACTTTATGAGGTTAAATCATATTAATTCTTTTTGCTCGCAGCTGTTTTACTTTAGTTTACTTTCTTTGTTATTAAAAATGATTTGCAATTTCCATTTATTATTATTTTTTTAACATGTTTATTAAAAATAAATAAGTGCTTAATTGAACTATTAAATTATCATCGTGCTAATGATTAAAGCATTATAGAATACGGTAAGTTATTACATTTTAATCCTATAATTAATGAAATCGAAATCAACTATTTTATTTGCAATAAAATTTGACTCCGGGAGGGAGTAACTCTCTCCTACTCTTTAACAATAGAAGTAATATTATAATAAAACTTGCTTGATAGAAAAAAAATGCTTTAAAAATGATACAATTAAATAGTTAAAATATTTTATTTATAATATTTTAAAACTCCTATTAAATATATTTGTTTTTTATTTATTATTATATGTATCTGGTACTGAGGACATTTCGTTCTATCAGATGTCGAGTTCGACTTAGTCCAAACTAGACATGTCTAGCTGCTACAACTAAGGGAAAATCTGTTAAGCACTATGGTATCGATGCTGACTGGTCACCGCGTACTAGGAAGACTGGATTTACCATATAGTAACAATTAGGAGAAGTTTCAAATTCTTTGACATTATTTTTTTTACCAACCTGATCAAGTTTATAAATTTATAAGGTTGTTTCACTTTCATTTAAATAGGAGTGCAGTGCACTTCGTCATTACTTGTACACTGAACACTGCGCTCGTATTTGGAATACTTCTAGTCTGCATATGAACAACAATAACGCATAATATCAGAATAGGACACTTCGTGCGCTTTGGGCTACCACTCCAACCTAACCTCACCTATCTCACTTAGGTCCATTAGATGGGTGTAAGTTGCCTTATAACCGCAACTATTATAATTCATATGATCTTCAACGTTTTTTTCAACTCATCAGAAAGATTTCAACATTTCTAATAAGTTTCATCGTACATTAATTACTATACTTACCATTATAAATTAACAGTTTAGGAAAGTAGTTACTTCATAAAATTTATATTTGCAATGAAACATTTTTATAATTTTTAACTGCCTTTCTTAAGTGTTTCAATTTGGTACAATAGGACTTTTATATCCGCAGTACCAGCTTATGGACGATTTGACGACAATAATTTTAATTATAATTTGATAAATATTTCAATACTATCTAAATACTTAATACTAGCAATAAATTTAACTTTCTTAAAGATCTTAAATAAAGCATAAATGAATGTTTATATTTTCATTACGTTCATGATGTTTGAATATCTAACATTTTATTATAATAATTTCTGTTGAAAGAACTTAATTAAACCCAATCCCTAAAGCACTGCTTAAGCTAAGCAAAACTAAATGAAAAATAAAAATGAAATTGAAATGAAAGTAAGCAAGGAAACTTCTATATAATATCTATTAAGTACATAAATTACTATTAAGTTGCATTCGTAATATAATTTCACAGAACTAATACGCGTAACCACATAGATAACCATTTTTATACAATTACAGAATGTAACAGCTGTCAAAATGTGACTTTTGCAATGACAGCAGTAACTGCCAAGAAAAATCAGTAAATGACAGCATCAAGTATTACAAATAAAATTTGCTGTATTAGCAACAATGTTTCATTAGTGCACCACAGGGGTCGTCTAACGAGCGCCATACACAAGGATTCTTTTAAGAGGGACATATAAATGTTAACTGTGAAATTTAAGTTCACTTCTGCGTCAAACGCTACAACTGAACAATCTGTACACAACACATAGCAGTTATTTAAGTGTTTCAAGGCTCTCTCACTCCTGTGTTTACATCATTAAAGTAAATCAGAATTTAAGTTTGTATCTGATTAACTGAACTTCTCTTTAAGCGAAGTAAACGCATTTTATTTGAACTTTTGCGGATGTATTTCTAGTCACGGAGTAACAGGAATTTATTTCTGGTATGTCTTTCAAACTTACAGAACTATGTAATGCTTAATCAAATTACATTAATTTAGTTAAGAAAATGGTAAATAATTTACAGTACTTCAAAACACGTGCATGTAAACGTCAAGAAAACCCTTTGACTTTTCAAAAAAAAAAGGGCTGAAGCTTAAAATAACAACACAACATCCCTCACGTCACACAGAAACCGCAGATAGGAAATATTTAATTTCGGGATAAAGATAAGAACAAACTTTTTGCGGAAAATAAAACAAACATACATTTAAGTTTTACAAAACGAAAATTGTTTCGTTTTTATGAAATAAAATCAACTTAGTGATTAAAAATGTTAGGAAAAAACTTTTCAAAGCAGAAATTTGTAAAAGCCATTTATTTGAAGTGGAGAAAAAAAATAAACTGAATTATACGGAATGCAAAACTAAAACCACAGACATTTCTGCAGTCACAAAATTTACTTAAAAAGCTTTACAATTTCTGAAATTTTGTTTCAAAGTTAAGATGTGGAAAATTGCTAACTCCTTCAAGCAAACTTTTATCCTGCATCTTAATTATTATGACAACCATTAAGTGAGTTGAATTGCAAAGTAAATTAATGATTTCACTTTAATTACATTTCCTGGAGCAGGCTTTTAAGGCGAGGTACTTATACATTTGGGATTAATCATGATATTATGTAGTTTACATAATAAATATTGTATATACAAATAATTTTATACATAGCTTTATTTTGAACTGCGAAACTATTGTGTTCTTTTGATAAAACTGGCAATGCTTTTATTGTATACATTCGGAATAACGACCTATTAGTAACCTATTATAAACAAATATCCTCAGGAAGTAGTTGGATAATAACACCACAGATAAGCAACATATATACTCTTCTCTTTTAAGCTTTAATTACTCTTTATAAGAATTCGGTATTGAATTGACATGTTTTTCTATTAGACAATATCATATAGCAATGACATAGTAAAGAGGAAGAAGCGCCAAAATCCAATCAATTGCTTTATATTAAAACAAACGTAAACGGTCTAAGTTATACGTGCGGATTTTATAATGTATACATGACCAATGCAACGTCATTTTGAATAAGATCTGTCTGACTTTTATTTCACTAGCACCGTTTTTTTCAGTTGGATGACAGCTGTAAAGTATAAACATTCCCGAACTGTGTTTAGATGCAATTTGTACTTTTCAACATACTTCTTCACAATAGCTCGTCATTTTAAAAAAAATCTCACTGACTTTCATTCTACTAACATGGTTCATGGTTCTTTCTAATTTCATAACATCTATGAAACAGAAACATCTACCAAGTTTCGATTGACTGCAATAAGTTATTTACAATATTATTTTTCATACTAACTATGCAATATTATTTTTATTAAGATGTATTTGACTTTCATCCTACTAGCACCGTCATTTCAAATTCAGACATTCCCGAAAGACGTGCAATCTGTTTCGTACATAATTTCACTAGACAATCATGATGTTCGTATTTAATTTAATCCATCTTTGGCCCTAATAACCTTGCTGTTATTGTTATCATTACTTCAACTGATACTAAACTTCGCTCTTAACCACCTTCCTCGGGCTTTGTCTTCAATGGAATGGAATTCTCAGAACACATAGATTCATAGAACTATGGCTCTCAATGTTACCACATTTCATTAATCATATATTCCATATATCAGACGCATATTTGAGATAATAATAATAATATTTATATTCTATTAATGTATTACATTCATACATAACATATATTTCAATT